CATTTTTAAGAATAGTTAAGTTTTCATCTTTATTGCAACTTTAATGCACCTGGAAAGTATTTAACTGATTGAAATTGTTCAAATGGGTTTTAATTTGCATATTTTATATCTGAAAAATTTAGGAAAATATCTGTTCAGCTTAAAGTAAATCTGAGCACTTGCTATGATTATTTAAAAACTAAGGAACAGCTTGCCCGATGGTGTGAATGGTGCGATACACAAGAACACAGACCTTGAACGTCACAGGAAACCCAATCCATATCCTGCTCCCATTGTTACTGTTGTAATTCACCCAACGACTGTTCTGAATCTCTGAGATAACTGGGCATATTTTTTCTCTAGATAGCTGGAGATAATTAGATAGAAAATGTCCCTGTAGGGCAATTTATCCGTTTTCAGAGAATTCTTCCAACACTCTCTAAAGAAAGCGGCGGAGCTATCAAATATATTTTTAATGAGATGTTTTCCTTTATGGACTATTATTAGTAAAATAGAGAATCACACAGAATAAAGACAGGGCCTCTTTACTCTTGAACTTTGAAAAAAGAAAAAAAATAACTGTTGTGATGTGAAACTTATTGTTTTAATCTTGGACAATAAAGGAGAAAAAGCAGGCTGATGAGGTTTTTCCTACAACACAAACCCTAGGAACACGCCCTACCAGTAAGCAAAGGGGACCAGAGTGCTTTGTCTATACTTTCAAAACAGCAGCCTTATTTTGCATGCATGTTGATAGCTGCATGGCCACCTCAAGGTGCAGCTTCAAAGTGGAGCTCCACCCAAAAGGGGAAGCTCCGCTTTAAGCCTTTGTCCCCCGCTACCCATTAAGGATTGGCATCTTTGGGGAGCAGGTACCCGAATTTGACTGGTACTCTCTCCCACTCTTGCTGAGATCGCCTAGGCCAGTGGTCGGCAAGCCGCGGCTCGCGAGCCACATGCGGCTCTTTACCCAGTCTAATGCGGCTCTTCTGTGTGCCGGGCGCCTGCTCCCCTCCCTCCTCTCGGTCGGCCGCTCCCCTGCCTCCTCTCGGTTGGCAGCCCCAAAAGTCCGCGCGGACATTTTAATCCAGCCTGCGGATGTGGCTGTCAGGATGTGTGTAGGCGGGGCAGCGTGCCGAACGTGAGGGGAGGGGAGCTAGGCTCCTCTCACAGTCCGCCCTGAAGACCCGAACGGCGCGGGAAGACAGCGAGAGGAACGCAAAAGGTAAGTGAATTGACACGGGGGACTTGGTACTAGAAGGGGGGGGGGAATAGTACTGTGGGGGATGAAATACTATATGAGGGATGAATTACTTTATGAGGGATGAAATACTATATGGGGGGATGAAATACTATATGGGGGGATGAAATACTATATGAGGGATGAAATACTATATGAGGGATGAATTACTATATGAGGGATGAATTACTATATGAGGGATGAAATACTATATGGGGGGATGAAATACTATATGGGGGGATGAATTACTATATGAGGGATGAAATACTATATGGGGGGATGAAATACTATATGAGGGATGATATACTATATGGGGGATGAATTACTATATGAGGGATGAATTACTTTATGAGGGATGAAATACTATATGGGGGGATGAAATACTATATGAGGGATGAAATACTATATGAGGGATGAATTACTATATGAGGGATGAAATACTATATGAGGGGATGAAATACTATATGGGGGGATGAAATACTATATGGGGGATGAAATACTATATGAGGGATGAAATACTATATGAGGGATGAAATACTATATGAGGGATGAAATACTATATGAGGGATGAAATACTATATGGGGGGATGAAATACTATATGGGGGGATGAAATACTATATGGGGGGATGAAATACTATATGAGGGATGAATTACTATATGAGGGATGAAATACTATATGGGGGGATGAAATACTATATGGGGGGATGAAATACTATATGAGGGATGAATTACTATATGAGGGATGAAATACTATATGGGGGGATGAAATACTATATGAGGGATGAATTACTATATGAGGGATGAAATACTATATGGGGGGATGAAATACTATATGAGGGATGAAATACTATATGGGGGGATGAAATACTATATGAGGGATGAAATACTATATGGGGGGATGAAATACTATATGAGGGATGAAATACTATATGAGGGATGAAATACTATATGAGGGATGAATTACTATATGGGGGATGAAATACTATATGAGGGATGAAATACTATATGAGGGATGAAATACTATATGGGGGATGAAATACTATATGGGGGATGAAATACTATACGGGGGATGAAATACTATACGAGGGATGAAATACTATACGGGGGATGAATTGCTATGGGGGATGAATTACTATATGGGGGATGAATTACTATGGGGGATGAATTACTATATGGGGGATGAATTACTATATGGGGGATGAATTACTATGGGGGATGAATTACTATGGGGGATGAATTACACTATGGGGGATGAATTACTATATGGGGGGATGAATTACTATGGGGGATGAATTACTATATGGGAGATGTATTTTCAGTTTTAAAAATGTGGCTCTCAAAATAAATTTCAATCATGGTTTTGGCGAGATTTGGCTCAGTTGAAAAAAAAGGTTGCCCACCACTGGCCTAGGCGACCGGAAGCGGAAGTTGTCCTTCCCCCCTCCCTCCCTGTAGTCTTCTAGGACACGTGACAGGTCCCAGAAGATTACGGGGCCATTCACAAAGTGCAGCACTTCTCGCGCACATGTGCAGTGGGCACCCGACTGTGAAGCCACAAGCTGTCACAGCCGGGTGCCCACACTGAAGATTCCGGCGCCAGGGAGAGAAGATAGCCAGTGAAACCAGCGGTGGTGAAGACACCCCTGGACCGAGGGACAGGTAAGTGGCTGTATTTTAAAAGTCAGCAGCTACAATTTTTGTAGCTGCTGACTTTTTTTTTTTTTTTAGGTGGAACTCCACTTTAATTAAAGCAACAGGTTTATTTTTATCCCCCCACTTGACCAGTAAATATTCATATTTTATTTACTCCCTCCACTGCTTCTTTAAACCATGAAGAAAGAAGCCCTATACAAGCTGTAAGTTTTTGCACTATTTTATTATTAAAGTAACATTAAACCTTCCTTTTTTTTAAATTAAAATACCAAACATGTTATACTTACCTGCTCTGTGCAATACATTTGTACAGAGCAGCCCCAATCCTCCTCTTCTGGGGTATCCCGATGGAGCACCAGGCCCCTCCTCTTCAGGCGTTTTTCATGAGGGCGCCTTTGTGGGCTTGCTCCTGTGTCTTTCTGTCTGGGTCTATTGACATAGATAGGACGGCCCCACCCCTGCCACGTCATTTGATTGACAGCTGTAATCAATCTGCCCACTGAGGGAGGGAGACAGTAGCGAGAGCAGCTGCTGTCATGCACATCACTGGACCGGATTGGGCTTAGGTAAGCATAAGTAGGAAGCTGGTGAGCACAGAAGGTTTTTCACATTAATGCATAGAATGTATTAAAGTATAAAAAACCCTAAGGCTTTACAACCAATTTAAGCTCTGGTGGCTGGAGCAAAACATGTCAGGGGGCGTGGCTTTGGTGGAGACACATGGGCTGAGACTGTTTTTAAGTCTACATTAGATTGGCTGGATGGAAGTGCTGCTGTCAGAGATGCTGGTGTGACCAGAAGTGTGTGGACTGACACAGGGAAACGTAGGCTTCAGATATAGTAAATAATATAATTTATTGAGACTAACAATACAAATATATATAAACGCAGTGCACCAAACCCCAAGCTAACACAAATACATACAACAAGGTGAAACAAACCCAAACCTAAACTGATATAGATACACAGGTACATACACATATAGAGCACAACGTAGTCAGGCAGGCTGGGTCGATAACTATCGGGCAGGTAGGTACAGGAGGAGCAGGCGGAGAGAATGGTCAGGGTCACAAGCCAGGGATCAAACAGGAGAAGTCAGCAGAGGTCAGGATCAGGCAGGGTCAGCAACAAGTCAGGCAGAAACAGGAATGCAGGTTACAAGATACAGGGGCCCATGGAAAAACACACACCAAGGCACAGACTGCAGGTCTGGCCATCCCTTAAATACACCACCTGCAATCAGCCCCAGGTGATGGCTAATTGCCGAAGTGAACCTCTGGTTGTTGAGAGCACCCGCTGGCCAGCCCTGGTACTGCAGCCCACAAGGCAGGTGAGTCCCACCACTATTGGCAAGTCCATTCCTGACAGTTGCGCTTCTTTAATTTTATATATGCATCACTCAAAATAATTATAGTCAGTCTAGAGCTAAGGACTCTCTCCTCATGTGATAGTGCTGGGCCAACCCACTATGGGGTGACCCCATCTAATCCATGAAACTTACTTTTGGTAATAGGGCTGTCCATCACAGTGATGGAGCCAATAGTAAAGCAGGCTATACATGGATCGAAATTTGGCCGGTTCATCAGGAGGATGACATCAACACAGAAGCGCGGCAGGAGAGCAACGATATCTGGGACAGCGTAGCAGTGCTGAATCAGTGGGTCCCACATCATAAATCAGCAGCAGCTAGGGACCTGGATGGGAGACTTAGGCGAGTGTATCTGGCTTCACAAGGTAAAGGGAAAAAATTTAGGAGGGGGTCTGGTCAAAAATAGTTTTTGCCCACAATGAGGCTTTAAAGTAAACCTGTCATAGGAGAAATGTAGAGGCAGCCTTTGCCTTTGCTGACCTTCTTTTGAATATTCTCTACTCTCTTGTCTTCAATACTATTTTTTACTACTTTACTGGCTTTATTCCAGTTCCCCTAAATGTATTGTCTCTCCTTTCTTTGGATGTAATACACATCTGTTTCTACCTGTAGAAAGTGGGAAATATAAATTTGGAATGTACTTTTAATAAGTGAAAAGCTAATACGATGAATTGGATTGTCCCCTTATGGGCATCATAGACAAAATACGAATTTGACCTGAAAGCCTGTCTTATTATGCCACTTCTCTTTTCTCTCAGGATCTGGATTTCGAGGCTCTCCTTGCCCGTCGCCTGCCTCCACCCTTTACCCCATGTGTAAAAGGACCACATGACATCAGCAACTTTGACCCTGAGTTTACATCTGAAGGACCAGAGCTGACTCCACCTCGGGAACCTCGACATTTAACCCCTCAAGAACAAACCATGTTCAAGGGCTTCGATTATGTGAGGGACGGGGCCTAGGAGCATGTGATATCCTCCTACTGAGTTTCTCTTTACTTTTCTTCAGCAGACTTTTTTGATTCTCAAGACCAAACTTCACTTTTTCATTTTTCTGTCTTTTAAGGTTGTTGACAAGTTGAATCACACAACATCTTCCATATTTCTAAGTGGCACATTAGCTTCACCAGAAAGCTCAGTACTGCAGACCTTCTGTGGTCATTACAAGACCAAATAATGGTGTCACAGCCTTTTTAATGGATTCCCTAGAATGTAGAATGTACAAATAATTGGGCAATCTAATTCTGAGATTGACCTTCATTATGGACTTTTGAGAAGGCTACTGCCTGGAAATGCTACCAAGAAAGGTAAAAAAAACGGATGCAATCCATCAGTGTTCATGAAAAACTAAAAATCAGATATTTGGTGGGGCTTGCATTTAAAGTGGGCTTGTCAGCTTTTTAAAACATATACAACCCACCCAAGGCTAGGCTCCACAAGGTTCTTGTTATTGCCCATAGCTATAAAACCTTCTTTGTACCCCCCACTGATTTAAATTCACTTGGTTACTGGATAATACCTGCCAAATACTTTTCCTTCTGAGCAATGAGAGAAATGCAGTGCCAACTGCCCATAGGGCTTCTTGCTGAGAAAGAACTACAGACCAATGAGCAAGCCACTATACTTCAAAGGTAGCCACTCTGTATAAGAAGCTGAATGGTCCCTTAGATTCGGTATTTGCTAGTGTGATATGGCCAAAAACAGCTCACTTGACAGAGAAGTCAGAGATAGTGTATGTAAACCATAACAATGAACTTCTGGTATTATCTCATTTTGGTTTGTGAAATATTATATTGAAAGCATTTTGGTACATCTATTTTGTAAGTGCAAAAAATTCCTGTTGATCTGTTCAGAAATTCAGAGCTGTCCTGTGCCATCTGCCTTCGTAACTCAAATTGATTATCTAGCCCCCCCCCCCCCCCCTCATTCTTACCTAGGACTACAAGCAATTAGTTACTATGATGTGGATAAGAAGGCAATGGGAGTGGTTGAGTAGTTTAGCAAAAGACAATGGCTAGGGATGACACCACTCAGTCCACAAAATGCTGTGTGTTGTCAGCCCACAATATGAAATTAATGGCTGACTGCATTTCTGGCAAATCAACAGGTAATTTTCTAAACTTGCAGGGTCCCAAAAGTTTTGAAACATGGGAAAATGTGCTTTTTTTTTGCACAGTACTGCATTTTTTTTAAATTTTACCTTGACATATGCATTAAAAAGGACCTCAGGAAAAAATGATGGTGCGGGCATCACTGCATGTTCACCCATAAACGTCAAAAAAGCCATTTCAAAGAATTAGAGGCAGTGGTGACATAGCCCTAGACGCACAGGTCCACCCTGGGAAGGCCATGTCACCAGTGCCCCTGGAAAGACCCCACCTAATCTCATGCATGCACTGTATGAGATCAAGGAGGCTTGTTATTGAATGATACGAAGCTGCTTCACAGCTTACGTCAATACGTTGTTCAATAACAAGCCAGCCCGCATATATCCCCTGTCTGCTTAAAGCTCATATAATAAAGTGACGTAAAATCAGTGAAGTGCATGAAGCATGGTTTTCGGGCTAACATAGGTCTCAGTAATTCAACTTATAGTATTGGCTGTTATGCAGTTTTTACAGTTTAAATTGGCTGACATGTTCACTTTAAGTCCCCGCAAAAGTCTTCCCTTGCTCATACTAATTTTTAACTTTCTTTATACCTGAGGCCAATCTATGTAAATAAAGATCTTTATAAACAACTAGATTATTGGGATACATTTGTGGAAAGAATGGGGCGCTGGCCAATTAGGTGTTTGCTGCAATGGACCCGTTTTTGGATGCAGTGGGGGTTATTTACTAAAATGGGAGCGTGCAAAATCTGGTGCAAGTCTTCACAGAAACTAATCGGCTTCCAGGTTTTGGTGTCCGTTTATGAACCAGCGGTAATAGAACGCTGCTCAGTTCTCCGGCATTCTCGGAGAACACTGTTCTCCTGTGAATGCAGTTTATGAAGCAGTTCTCCGAACGAAGGGAGAACGATCTCCAAACGCTGGAGGAGAACGGTCTACAAACTCTGGAAAACGGCTGATTTTACTATAATCTCGCGAGATTACAGTAAAAGATCAGTTTACTAAGCGGAGGTAAATTATCTCTGCTTAGTTTTCGGTCCCCTCCGATTCTCCAGCTCTGGGCTGGAGAATCTGGAGGGAGAACACAGATCTCCAGTGAAGGGCTGAACATATTCTCCTGGGTGTTATAAACTGTGAATGACCAGAGAATAGCTGTGATCCTCTGAATCTCAGCTATTCTGTGTGTCATAAACGGACACCTTTATTGCCAAAGTTAAATTAGACAAACTGAAGTTAGAAGCTGATTGGCTACCATGTACAGCTGCTTTAGATTCTGTGTGCACCAATTTTAGTAAATCCCCCCGTGTATTGCTTGTAAAAGCAAAGCATGTCAGATGGAAAACAGAGCAGATAAAGAATGGGTCTATGATGAACGGATTAAAAGTCCACTGCATATTTCCTACCATACCTGCAGATACAGCATACCAAAAATCACACTACTGCTGTATGTCAATTCAGGTTCTCGGTGCTGAACACAAATGAAAAATAAAGTGTGTTTCAGAATGTGTTTGACCTTTAACCTATCCCTAATTATGAACCTACAAGGTTCTCTTATTGGTGGGACTTTAGCGGCACAATTCTATCAAATGGTAAACTTGACAATTCAATCATTTAAAAATATATGCAATTTTTTTTTTTTTGCAATCTTAAAACAGACATTTAAGTGCAATCTATGCTTGACTTATCTCTACATCTTCATTGGAATACCATCTCTGATGACACCGCCTTATTTTGTATTGTAACTTAAATGTCTGTTTTAATATTGCAAAAATAAAAATCGCATCTTTTTTAAAATGATTGAATTGTCAAGTTTACCATTTGATAGAATTGTGCCGCTAAAGTCCAACCAATAAAAGGATCTTCTCACTGTATCTTTCAGGGATGATGGCACCCCTTGTATCATACCTCTTTCTCTCTTTAATTATGAACCCATACTTATTGGATTACGTGTAAGGAGTGAAAAGTATACCTTATGTCGCCACTCCAAGCTATGGATGGAAGGAAAAGGATCACCTCACCGGCAAGTGAGAAGAGGGGAGCATGAGTCAGAGTGATTCCAGTGTCAGCCAATGCAAGTGAAGGGATGGATGCTCCACAACCGACCCCAGGAGTCCAATGCTGTCCTCAGCCGCTGTTCTGGCCATGCCTTCTAGTGCTTTTCACCCCACCCACCAGGGCTTGGTCACAGAGGTTCTGCCTGTCAGATAAGTTCCTATAAACACCATTGATCTTTTTACCTATTTGTAAGGGGATAATTCTTTCCAATGACCACAAGTGTAAGGATCATTCTTCCCATTGACCATCACACTAGTGTATGATGAGTTGTACATAAAGTAATTTTTAGCAGGAGTTCCCCGAGATTGCTAAGTTATTTCAAGGATTCCTCTGCATTAAAAAGGTGGAGAAAGGCTGCTCTAAATACTTAATTATGTATTACATGTAATAATAGTAGATATTATACTATTTAAAGTGTTACTAAACCCACAACAGTAAAATCAGTCTGTAAAGAATGCTTACTGTAAACTTACTGTGGGACCTAAGGGGTTAATCCTGCGCATTGTGTAAAAAGGCTATTTGATCTTGTCTTCTCTGATCCTTCCCTTCTTTCAGTGTCCCCCTCTTATCTCCTGATAAGACATATTGTGTGGACATACACTGCACATACTCAGTTTGGTGTGTATTGCTAGAGAGGTTTTTTTTTTTCTTGGGAGAGTGCATGTGATCAGCACAGGGCCAATCAGCACTGTCCAGACAGAGGTCAGGGGTTCTGCTCCTCCAACAAGCTTTAACATGTGTTCTGCTGGACTCTGATAGAAGTCACAAGACTGCTGTAACTGCTGATGAGAAAAGGTATTTCACAGTTTATATATACTAAAATAATTGCATTTCCATGTTGTGTGTACTGTTGGAGACCAGATATAATGAATGCAGGGTCCGGGGTTTAGTAACACTTTAAGTTACATGCCTTAAAAGCAGCCCAAGATGGCCATGAGTGCGGCCTAACACAAAATCATAAACTTAATTATAATTGTTGATATTTTGGGGAGGAATTTTTTTTAGAAACATGCACTTAGCGAACACATGCAGCCAAAGAAAAAATTTTACAGTGTCTTTCTTCTAATTTATACCATACATGCAAACAAACTGATGCAAAAACTGCACAGATTGCCCTTGCAGAGACACAAGTTTACATCAGTTTTCATGCGTATTAACATGCTGTCACATCAATTTTTTTTTTTCTTCTGCGCAAAAAATGTGCAACATAATATCTCTGCAAGAGCACAATGAAAACAAATGTTCTCTGTGTGCTCTGTTCACACCACAATGTTGATGCCACATCAGTTTTTTTTCCATGTAGAAAACTGCATGCTTGTTGCAAATTGCTGTGCAGAAAAAACCTGCATGTGAAACCATTGGTGTGGTTCGAATGGGGCACATAGAGACCAATTGTTTTTTTTCTTTGTGCTCTTGCAGAATGCGTGCAGAAGAATTCACGTCTCTGCACATGGTGTGAACCAGGCCTTACTGTATATTATCATACAGTATTTATAAAGCGCCAATAGTTCGCTCAGCGCTGTACATTACAAAGGGGGACAGAACATGTGACAGAACAATACCAATACAATGCAAAACATGAGGGCCCTGCTCTTTCGAGCTTACAATCTAGGAATGTGTTCTATCTTCCCAAAGAAATATATGCCACTCTTCACAATCACCTTATTCATGTCATCAGTACCAATATTCAAGGATGAAGGGCAAAATTAGAAACAAAATATCCAAAGAGCACCTTGAGAATTCATTGAGAATACCTACTATAGCCATCCAACCAGATATTGATGATTTAGTTTATCAA